AAAATATATTCCATTCGTTATCATTAACAACATTAAGTGCATTAAACATTACATTACGTCAAGGTTTCCTAAACTGGGGTTCATGAAGGAACTGAAGGAACTGTGAGAGTTTAAGCTAATAATTAATGAACTCATAAAAATGTAAAATTAAAATAAATCGTTTAAATCGTTTGTAAATCGAAATAAAACACTTCCTAAAAAATTAATTCTTTTACATATTTACCTGCATGTCATGTGACCATTAACCAACATCAGAGAACCATGAACATGAAAATGTGATACTTAATTATTAAATATTAATTTTTAAATCTCAGGACATTCTTCAAGTTAATATATTAGGTGAAAAGATGACAACCAAGTTTGGGAATGCCTCCATTCAGGTAAATAAGAAATAATATGAATTTGTGCATATGTGTTTGAAAGACAAAGCTTTCCAAAGACATTGTAACAGATGGTTACATAACCCACTGAGTGATAACTGATGTTGAATAAAAAGTAATAGTCCATGCTATTTTCAACCCTCTTCTCTAGGTTCTTCATGCTGCAACAAAAAGAAGAAACAACATCTTTCAAGTCTTTCTGGTGAAACACCCTTCAAACTTGCACCATCATTTCAAACAAACACAAACACTTCTGGATGTTTCCTCACAGCACTGAGCGTTAAATATGCATGATATTACAGCTTCTGCTGCTGGCACAACCTCGCAATCCAAATCACCCTGTTAGCTCACAGCCTATGTTAAATTAGACATTTATAAACTATTATTATGCAGCTGTTGGAAACTTTTTCCTCGTCGAAGCAGAGACCAGGAGACGTTGGGATATGTTTCATACAGAAGTCACTCTTTATTGAGGACTCGAGCATCGCTGCAGTCATCCAAGTCTGACTATAGCTCAGCACAGTAGAGTTTATACCTTTCAAGGGGGAGGGATACATAGAGGTGGAGACAATCTAAACAAAGCATGCAAATGCAATACAGGAATCAGCCCGTTACCGGAATTTCTCCAT